CCCCCCCCCCCCCCCCTATACTATACATCGTCATAGACGTAATGACGAAACGAATGTTACAATAATTTTATACGGGAGGGTGAAGTCGGTACGTGCCTAAGCGTCGTGCGTGCCTATATGCACGATGGACATGGACTGATGACCACAGTCGAGTTCCCATGCAACCCCCTGCGAATACTCTCACCACATGACACCTACAGGGGGTGGAATTCCGATGCACATGCCACTGCTGTGTTACCTCGACAACGCCATGTGGGGTACGTACACCATGTGATGCTCACGTAGGAACTATCTTCCTTCATTTCTTCGGCTGTTTCACAAGGGGAAACTAAAAATTGCGGCATACACGAGAATATAGCGGAATATACGCTCAAACGTTAATCAAATTTGCTCGCAGAAGTTGCATCGTTCTTGAATTGATATTCGACTTGCGATTTTTCATACGTCGTCATCTATTTAAAAAAGAAAAATGATTACTTGTTGTAATATTACCTTGAAGTTCCATCGAGGGTTCCCCATTCGTTAACTATCCTACGTATTACTTGCGGACCCTATCACTATATGCACTATAATCACGCTTTGAAATCTACCCACCTGCTTAAATGGTAAATATCGTATGACGCGCAGGAAACGGTCATTGGTGACTTACCGATGTGTGTTTTTCTTGTACTTTAATAGTCGCTGATTCCATGACATATTGAACTTGAAGATGACTTTATATATGCTTAATATGTGCAATTAACTTTCATAATTTATTTATAAATTGATTCTTTGACGGTGGAAAATTTTTTTCGTACACCATTCTCTCATTGTGAGAAAACAATTAACATTTTAACATGAGAAATAAAGACAAGTATTATTACGCACTTTTTAAATTTAAATTTGTGAGTATTTCTGCCGAAAAAAATCGGTCATCAGATACTAATAGCAGTAAGACCATGTGCATTACCCCCGCGCTTACCTTGGTGAACGCACTCCTCGCGTGTAATTAGTTCGTCGCGTCTACTTCCGAATCGACGCAACAGTGGGAGAGTTCCTGAAGCCATTTCCGGCAGGGCACCGGCACCTTTTTGTTTTCCCCTTCTCGTCCCACGCATGACGGCACACAGGGAAGTACCGATCAAAAACGGGAAAGACAGAAGTTCGTCTGACCCCCCTCGAAGCGTCCCTTCCTATCCAGGTACAATCGTCGTCCCGTAGACCTTATCGAGGTCGACACCATATGTCACTTCTGGAGTAACGAGCAGCAAGCGCTGCACCCCTCTAAAGTAATTGCCAACGGAACTGCCTAGTAATTTCTCGGAACGAATCGCTCCTCTTCGAGGAAGCGGCCGAGAACGCGCTAACTTGGCGTAATTGAACGTTTACGTAATAGTGATTCAAGTGCGCAATGAGGACGTCGATGATACTTCAGATACGCGCGCGTATTTGCTCGTATTTCAATAATCTGTCTTCCTGTTACGCAATTTACAGTTCTTCGGCCTTCAAGAAAGAAAAATGTGTTATCTTTGTGATGGGTACCGTAACTTTATTCAATATCCTTTATTTCTAACGTCATATATTATACTATATAAATATTGTATTTTATATATATATGTATGTTTTGTATATATATATATATATATATATATTTGTATACATAAATAATACAATATTAATTTTCATAAAGGCTTAATCTCGATAAATGAAAATAAATAGAGAAAAATTTTATTTATATTTGTAGAATACAATTTTCATTAAACTTTCTTTACTTTGTGACACCTCACGCATTGTTCTCTACAAGCTCTTTTGACTTCTTGATACGTATTGGAACGAATATCGAGATATCCTCGTACGCAGGGGGTTTATGCGTAGACGAACTATGGAATATTGTCGGCTTATTGAGCGCAGGTGCTTTAAACTGCTCAGCTGTTGCTTCGAATCTCGCGTACATGTACACAAACGTGTGTGCCCGTGCACTGTATTAGTACGTATTCAAGCTCTATACCATAACGCATACGTGCTACTACACAAACGTCTCACTTACGCACTTATACGCAGCGTCAATTGAACTGCATGACGATCGAAGCTTCTAACAGGCCGTACCATTGACGAATGAAGAGCGATTATTTGAGCGCGTGGAGACTACAACAAAAAAGGATTCCATTAAAATATTTTGTGCCGAGTAAATAATTGTAACGACAATAATGAAATATTGTGGCCTCATTATGACTTGGTAATAAAGTTGGTATTAGCGAGCGGCAAATTTATGAATAAAATGAAAACGTAAAGATCGGCTATATATATATATATATATATATATGAATATAAAGGCGTAGAAGAATTTTATTTTTCTCATCGAAGCAAGCCAGATGGGCCTGGTCTATGATCGAGCGAGCAATGAGTGGCCTATCAATTACTTTTTGTGCCCCCCTTTCTTTCACCGGGTATATCGACCGACGACGGTATGTGTCCCATCGGCGAAGACCATTCTAGGCGGAACTGCTTATGTATCGAATAAGATATTCAACGCAAGTAATTTTCTTATGGTCGCTTCTCAGGCGAACCACCCCCTTCTTCGCTAACCCCCTCGTAACTCACTATACTTTGAGTTTTTGCCTCTATCGGTCGCAGGGTGTTCGGACGAGGGTGAAACATATTGCTTGCAACTGTCACCCGCGGTCTGCTCTTCTTCTTCGTCGCCGTCGTCGTCGCCCTCGATGTGGTCGATCACTGTATTTTTAACCGATAACACTTCGCACTCCTTTCTCATGTTCTATCGTACTGTGACGTCATCTTGCATAGAATTAATGTATTTTTTTCCCAATGTCCATATCTTGGAAAATAAGAAATGTTTTCTACAAATTCAACTTTTAAGAATCTATCGTGAAATATATACGTATATATCTAAATATAGGATGATACGATAAAATACTAAAATATAATATTTGCAAAAAGAGAGCGTACGTGCGTTTTTATTGGACGTATGTTTCTATTTTCAATGAAAAAAAATTTGCAAATATTATATAAAGAACATATTATAACTACGAGGATTAATAATGCATCTGTAACAGATTCTCTTTCAACATTCTTACCATACCATTCTATTTGTGGTTAAAATAAGATAAGCTAATAATAAGAGGAAATGACAAGTGTACACACCGTCGAGTACTTCCTATCTACGGAAACGACGTTTCTTTCAATGCAACAGTCTATATACAGAGCTTAAAATACTCTACCGTGTGCTATTATAATACCTCTGAATCGATTCTCTTATTATATATATATATAGACGAGCGATATTCGTTTAGACGGCACAGATCGCTGAGATGAATTGTTGTCTTTTTATTACAGACGGTGTATCGGAGAATTGAGGCCACGAAAATCGAGACGAGGGAGCGAGGGGCACTTAGCCCTTTGGCGAGCTCGAAGGATGCAGCTCCCAGGCGGGAGCACGAGAATTCCGCCCGCGAGAATACCGGCTTTCCTTCTGGTTATCATCAACGGGAACAACATCGCAACAATCACCGGGAATAAACGCATCGGTAGCAACAGCGGCGGTCCCGGTTGCAACAATAACCGTAGCAGAAGTAGTAAGAAGCACGACAGCAGCGGATACAGACCCGATAACGAATCGAATCTTCCGAAGAAGACCCGCCATCTCGAGACGAGGGCGAACGGCCGACATCAAGTCACCGAGCAGCAGCCTCAGCCGTTGGCGTCAGCTCTACGGCGGAAGGTGCGGGGCGAGGAATAGTGAAAAGAAAGCACAGAAAAAGCGAGGAACGACGGAAGAAGAAGAAGAGGAAGCGCGAGAGAAGGAGAAGAAGGAGAGGAGGAAGCAGGAGTTCGCCGGGAAAGAGAAGGGTGCCGGCGTCGTCGTCGTTGGCGGCGGCGGCGGAAAAAGCAAAGGAGGCGGCGGAAGAGGAGGAGGAGGCGGTGGCGGCGAAGACGAGGGAAAAGAAAGAGGAGGAGAAGAAGACCGAGAAGGAGACGGCAAAGGCAAAGGAAGTGGAGAGGCGGTGGTGGTCGGTGGCGGACAAGGTGGGGAGCATTAGAAGAAGGAACACATAGAGAAAAGGCAGCTGTAGTAGGGGTACCGGAGAGACTACACAGTGTGCAGAAGCCGAGGCAGCGCACTGAGCCACGAGGGGCTATTCGAGCGAGAAGGGGAGGGTGACAAGAAGCCCTGGCGGGGAGGGGACGCGGAGGCCTTCGGGGGGCCGACCAACCAGACGGCCGATGATGTCATCGGAGGAGGAGACCGAGTGTTTCGCCCTCTACGGAGCAACCACGGAAAGCAAGCAACAGCAACTCCTGAAGAAGCAGAAGCGCACCAGACAGCGCGTGGACGCCGGCGAGCCGCGCAACAGCTACTCGAGTATACCGAACTTTAGCTCCCGGCCATCCTTCCTCGGTGGTGGTCTATACGGCTCGATCTTCAGTGGTAGTGGACCACCGACGCATCAACAATCGCCGCAACAGCAGCAACAGCCGCAGCAGCACCACCAGTCACAATCGCAACAACAACAACAACAGCTCCAGCAACAGGCTGGAGCGGCTGGCAGCCAAAGTCATTTAGGTACAGCTACGACGGGTCCTACAACCCAGCAGCATTCCGCCCACGCGGCCTTCGGCTTCTTCGGGGCTCCGGGCTTCGGCCCCGCCAAGATGCTGAACGAGTTATTAGGAAGGCAGGTCAAACAAGCCAGTGACGCTGGCGGATCACCGCCAGAGGGCGGTCACGGGATGACCGGTGCCGGCATGGATCCCGCCTCGAATTTGCAACCGGGCGCCGTGGTTAATTGCGATGATCCTGCTACGGCCGACCTCACGCAGCACATGTTACGCGACATGCTTCTGCAGGGCCGCAAACTCTCCGCTCTCGGCGTGCAGGAGCAGCCGAACAATAACAACAGTATACATAATAACAACAATAATAATACTACCGCGGAATTACTTAAATCACAGCATCAGCAGAGTCCCCAACAGCATCAACAGCAAAATAGTGATAGTGCGCGCAGTGGAACAGTGCAGAGTGGCGGGGAGGAGAGTGGTGATGGTAATAACGTCGTGAATAGCGCGAATCACAGTGATCGTGATACCGTGATGCCGGGCGATGCTGAGGACAGTGCTGAGGATGCTGCTTCCGCGGCACGCGCGATGGAGGAGGCCTTTGCCGAAGCCGGTATGGAACCAGGGGCGAACTTGGATGGATCGGATTGCGAGCAGAGCCTACCTCCTAGCCCAACGGCACCAAGATCGGGCTCGGTCTCCGTTAAAGAAGAGATACAAGAGTCGATGAATATCAAACGTAGCCCCAGTCACTCTCCTTGTCCGATCGTGCCAAAAACCGAAACGAACTCTCCAACGACAGAGATTAAACGCGCTCGTGTGGAGAACATCGTCAGCACGATGCGCAGTAGTCCAGCGCTTCAGCCGGCAACGGTAAACGGTTGCAAGAAGCGCAAGCTCTATCAACCTCAGCAACAGACGGTGCATCACGTTCTCCAGCATAGTGTCAATGATACCATGATGGACGACGACGACGAGAGCGAAGAGGAGGAGGATCCGGCGACGATCAGACAGAAACGGGAGGAGAAAGATAATTTAAAGATACAATTAAAAATGTTGCACGAGCAACTGGCGGAAATGCAACAAAAATACATGGAACTCTCCAGTAGAATGGAGCCAGATACAAGTGAGAGCGGTGACGCGCCACCCAGTCCTCAACCTCAACCACAACCACCACCAAGACCGCCACGACCTCATCCACCGCCGTACACCAACGGCCTCCCGACCCTCCCACCCGATCACCCCCACGCAGCAGCTGCTGCTATGTATCATATGGGGCATAAACTTTACTTTGAACAACAACATGCTGCCCTCGAAAGAATGAAACAACATCAAGAAGCGGCTGCGCGGCAGCAGCAACAGCAGCAGCAACAGCAGCAGCAGCAGCAGCAACAGCAGCAGCAGCAGCAACAACATCAACGACAAAGTTCGCCACCGCCACCAAGCCAACCTCAGCAACAGAGCCAGAACAACACTGGACCTTCGACGCCGCAGACGCCGCAAATGCAATCAGCCAGTACGCCTATTCAACATAAAGACTTCCAGGAAAGGTTAAGCGTCTTTAGAGGTGCCGCCGCAGCAGCCAGCTCGTCCGGTCCTCATATCACCGGAGCCGATTTGGAAGGCTTGGCGGATATCTTGAAGACGGAAATAACTTCTTCTTTAGCCAGTTTGATTGATAGCATAGTAGCAAGGTTCGTGCAACAGAGGAGGTTTCTCGGTAAGCAAACCGAGGCAGCGCAGGCTGCTGCCGAGCAGCTCAATAAGGACCTTCTTTTGGCGAGCCAAATGCTCGAAAGAAAATCGCCCAGGACGAAAGTAGTTGACAGAGGAGCTCCACAACCACCCGGTGGCCCAAACGGGCCACGGGGGCCCCTCAACAGTGGGCCCCCTCCTCCACAACCCACGGGGTTTTCACAAATCGGGTCCATAGGTGGTGTACCCCATGGCCCTCATACTGGCCCCACGGAAAACAATCTTAACCAGATGAATCAGCTGCCCTCGCACGCAAGGCCGAGCGTTGGAATGTTTCAGACTCCAAAACCGCCGACGATATACGCCATGGCCTCTATGCAAGCGCAGCAACAACAACAACACCAACAGCAACATCAGCAACAACGCGAGCAGCAACAAAGGGAGCAACAACAACGCGACCAATACTGCAATATGAGAGGTGACGAGAGAGAAAACAGGGACTCGGAGCAAAATGAAGCTCTGTCACTTGTCATGACGCCGAAGAAAAAACGTCATAAGGTAAGCATTACAACTTGTCAGATTTAATATATTCATATAAGTTAATATAAATTAGTGTATTTTTAGAATTACGATAATATTAATATAAACTGATATATTTTTAATTTTATAATTTTAATATGTATAAAAGTGTGTGTGTGTGTATATATGTATAAATTGTACAAATTTTTACATATATAAAAAAGATATTAACTTCAAGTCATTCGTAATATTCGAATAATGTTTTGTAAATTGAAGTCATTGAAGTCACAGTGAAAGTATTATAAACAATTATAATATAAATTTGGATCGATGAGAATAAATATAATTAAATACGAAAAATTATGTCAAATTTTAGTGCTTAAATTTATTGTGTGAAATTTGCTGTGAATTTATATACATATCTGATTCTGCAATCGCGCGTCGAAATCTTTTACATTATTAATACTCTTATAAAGATGCTTATTAGCATAAAAAAAAATTTTTTTAATTACTTATCAATTTGATAAGTGATATTACTACTCTGATTCTATTCATGATTGCGTTTCAAGATTGAAAAAGATTTAAGCATAGAAATATTTAAGTGCCAAGTGCGCTCCGTTTTGAGCGAATATAAGATTTCTGTTCTTTAATTTAAAAAATATTATAATCTCAATTTTTATTATTTATATTTTTATATGTTTTTATAAAATAGTTATAAGTAAAATTAATTTATATTAATTATGTGAAATTGATAAAAAAAGTCTAACTAAAAAAAATACTAATTAGTACGGTTTACAGGTGACGGATACGAGAATTACTCCGAGAACGGTATCCAGAATCCTAGCGCAGGAAGGAAACGGATCTCAAGGAGGTAGTGATAGTCCCCCGCCTCCTCCACCACCGAGACCTTACCATGCGCCACCACCGATGCTGCCGGTGTCCCTGCCAACCAGCGTAGCGATACCAAATCCAAGCCTCCACGAGAGTCAAGTGTTCTCGCCCTATTCGCCGTTTTTCAATCCTCACGCGAGTCATCCTGGTCAAGTACCACCTCCGGGGCCACATCATTTACCCGCGAGTCCTCCGGGTGGAGGTGTAGAACTCAGGGATTCCCCTCCACTGCCCCATCCGCCAGCTATGTTGCATCCAGCCTTGTTGGCGGCAGCCCAGCACGGCAGTCCGGACTACGGACACCTTAGGATGGACAGCAACGACCGAGCTAGCGACTGTAATTCCGGCGACATCAGCTACGATGGAATTCAGCCTACAATATCCTTTACTAATACTTTTATGCTAAAGAGCAAATTTCGTAATAATACTCTACATTTTATAGAATTTTATTAAATTCTATAAAATTTTATAAACATTTCTTCAGATAATATTTATAAGAATTTTGATATATGTATATTTATTATGATCAAAACGTAAGACAAAGTGAATTTTCTAGACATGAATTAATCATTTTATGTATAAAAAATATTACTATTTAAAATGAAAAATGTTATCTGAAGATTAATTCGTGTGTTAAAAAGAATTTAGAAATACTAGAGAAAACAGTTAAGATACTCAGGGATATTGTTTGACATAGAGGAGAAACGAAACTCGCGCGCGAAAAGTTTAGAATGTAGCGGTGAGTTTTTTGAGAGAGAGAAAAAGCCGGCAAAATGGCTCGCTCGCTTGTAAGGTGGCTGGAGCGAGGAAGCTCGGACGAATGTTAGATTAGTTTAGTACAGAGTTAGGCTAATGTTGGCTGCACCTACGAGTAGAGTTTGTCCAGCAACAACGCACCGAACCAAAAGTTCTTTACCTACCTCGGCCCA